CTTCCCATCGGTGCGATCGACGTGGGTGCGGAGCGAATGGGCGCGAAGACCGACGGCATCCGCTTGCGAAGAGGACTCGCTGTCGGTGGCGCCGCGGACGTGGTCCATTTGAGGCACGAGGCCGCCTTGCCGCTGTCGGCTGCTGTCGGTTTTGGACAGCATCGGCTGTCGGGCATCATGTTTCTCAATAAGCGTCGGGGGGCGTCACCCCCGCCGACCGCCCCACCTCGACCCCCGTCGCGGGCAGCCACCGCGCGCCGAAGGCGCTCCGACCCCCGTCGCGGCGCGACGACGAGGCGAGGTTGACCCCCGTCGGGGGTGTACCCCCCACGCTTCTGAAAAAACCCAGAGCATTCGTCTCGGGGGTCCAAGTCCCAGGTCTTGAGCCGGAGCTTGGCGCGGAGGAACCCGCTGCGGTGGAGCAGGCTCGGCAGCCTGCAGGACGCCATCGCCGCGCTGGAGGAGCGACGCCCTGGGGGGGGACGTCATGCTCTGAGATGGTCTTCTGGCTTCAGCCAAAGGTTCATGGCATTGCTTGGCACTGCTTGGCACTGGTTGGCAAGGAAGCAAGACCAAGGGACCCGAGGAAGGCAGCTAGGAACCAAGACCGACCGTCACCATAGCAACAAGATCAGAAACACGAACAACAAGGACGCACCAAGACAACATCAACAAACACATCGCAAATAACAGTGAGAGGAGGAGGAGGCGGAGGAGGAGGAGGAGGAGGCGGAGGAGGTAGGAAAAGGACACGACAGCCACTCTGGCCACCACACCGACCAGAGCCAGGGAACCGCGCGCCATCTGCAGGGAATGCGGAGCACGGTGGCACGAACCCTGCGTCCCGCTCAGAGGAAGCTGCAACAAATGCAAGATCACTGACGTAATCAAGCGCGAAGACATCAATTGGGACACCGGCTACGACCAGGTCTCACCACGCACAGGCGCCGTGCTCACGGCAGACGTCCAGCTATGCATCCCGGGTCCTATGAGTTGGCCGCCAAAGCAGAAGACCAACGTTTTCACACCCACTGCACCGCAACAGGTACGCGAGGCCAGTGCCCCCACCACTGAAGCCACACCACGCTTCAAGGCACCGCCCATCGAGGTAGTACAGCGGGGCCTTCTGCCTCCACGCTGGCGGAGCCCCACGCCCGTAGCGCTCACAACGAACAGCGACGACTACACAGCCACTTCAGCACCACTGGGCATTCGAGTACCGCCACTAGTTGTCACGGCGCCTCCGACAAAGCAGGACAATGCTGACCAACACAACGACGATGCCTACGACAAGCAGGGCCAACAGGACGCCCAAGATCAGCAAGCGGGGAAGAGTACGAAGGACCAGCCGACTCATGGCAGCGACACCGACGAACCGCTCGAGACAGCTACCACGCGCACGGAAGGATATTTCCCAGCAGTTTGCATATGTCATCAGACTTGCGGGCTCGCTTCGCTTCGCCTCAAATCTTGGTAGTGCGTCCAGGCGTTGCGGGGGACTACCGAAGGTCTCATCGGTGCAGAACAGTTATGACCAGGTTGGGGGTGCGGGTCATTGTCTGGGTGGGGCCACAGGCATGTGCATGCCATGGGGGGAAGGGCCAGGTTGCCACCGGGGTGACGGTGAGGACCTCGATGCCAGGGTCAACCATTACCCCACTTGGGGTGGCGGCTACGGCGTCGAGGGGGTGTGCGTCATGACCGCGAGCTGGGTGAAGTTCATGGCGAAACGGGGCCTGGGCCGTGGCCGCGAAGGCGATGAGCGGGAACACATCGATGAGATGATCACGAGAGGGGGTTAAGGTCATGATGCGAGATGGGCCCCATTCCTCACCTTCATGCAGGTTCACGGCATGGCCGTGTTATGGGGCTGACATCATTTCTGGGAAGATGCTCGGCAATGCGGCAAAGAGAGGGGGTCATGGAGGTGATCATGAGGGGGCGAGGTTGGTAATCGTAATTAGGTTCTTCGCATCGATAGCGGAGGGGCCCAGGTATTCACCGTCAGGTGGGCGACCCCCATGACCGCGAGAGGGGTTGAGGTCACGTCGGCTTAGCTGTGCACAGGTTGTCGCGAAAACGTTTGGCCAGGCAAACAGAGTGCGGTCTCCGCGCATGAGGTAAATGTGCGCTCCCTCGACCAAAAACATTGAACAGCGCGAGTGACGTTTGCCTCCCGTGTCCTACTGGGAAGGGCTCCTTGGGCTCTCTTGGGACGTCCGTCGGGCTCCTGGCCCATCGTGGAGTTCGGCGCGAGGCTTTTGGGTCCTTCGCGGCGCCCAGGCGGGCGGCTGGCTGGGGAGGCCGTCCGAAAGGTGTCCTTGGGCGGGGGGGGGTCTTGGGCGACCTGGCTATCTCCTGTTGCCCAGGGGGCCACGGATCATATTGAAGAAGAGGAGGGCGAGGAGGAGGGGACGGAGGGAACATGATGGTAAGACGAAACATGGCAATACTTATGATACTGGTATGATTCATGCGAATCGTGATACTAAGACCAAAC